GGGACTGGACTCCTGTTAGTGCCCAGAGTCGGTACTAGACATGGGCAAACTGCATTTCAGATTCATGCGGCTAGAGTCTGGAACAGTCTTCCTGAGAATGTGAGACAGGCGTCTACTCTGGCATCTTTTAAATCTAGGCTCAAAACAATTCTGTTTAGCTGCGCATATACAACTGAATGATTTTATCTTTTCATCTTTGTTTTTATCTTTAATCTTTTTAATGCACTGTGACTATTTATGATTTTAGTCCCATCTGTGATTTTAATGTTTAAAGGTTTTTAATTTTTGTGATTTTATTTTTAATGTTTTTAATATATCTTGTGCTCTTAATGTGTTTGATTTATGCATGATGTGATAGGGGATGTGAAGCGCTTTGCGTTGCCTTGTGTAGGAAAGGCGCTCTACAAATAAACGTTGATTGATTGATTGATTGACAATTCAAATGAAAAGCATTGTTTGCCATTTTGCCCTAGGCTATTGTGTGTGTGTGTTTGTTTACAGAAAAGTACACAATTTGACAGTGTGACACAAATGGTTACTAAGCTCGAGGAGTTTACTTTTCAATGTAAGTCAATACGAGCCAGTGTGAGTTGGAACAAAATATCATCCATAAGCACTTTCCGTTAGCTCAATGAAGCTAGCGTTGAAGTTAGCATTAGCATATCTATATACAGCTCGTGGTCGAACAGAACAGTCCGCCCCATTCTGTGTTTGGTTCCAAATCTATGCAAACAATTGAAGCCTGTTGTGTAGCTCGAAATGATTCGAAGGCGCACAGGCAAAACTGGCCCAAGAATTACAGAGAAAATAGAACTAGGACCAAAGGTACCAGAAAAGATTCTAAGCTGCCATTTACCCGTTCTTTTTTTAATCTTGTGATGTCACATGAACAGAGGGACAGCGTCTGTTTTACACGTTCCCAGAGACAGGTGATACCATGGCGTTCTGCTATACGAAAACACTTTACTCCAAAAGTGCAAAAGTGAATGTTGTTGTGGAAAAACATTTAATTATAAACAGTACAACACACATAGTACAATACATGGCTCCTTTACGTGAGTTTCAAGACAAAAATGGATGAAATGATATGTGTTCAACTGATTAAACACGTGGCTGCCTTCCGCATCAGAAAAAGGCTGTTGTGCGACCCAGATTTATCGCTGGACAAAGCCATTACATTTGCTAATCAGGTAGAATCTGCTGCAAATCAAGGCAAAATTTAAGTCATGCTCCAAAATTGGCTTTACAGAATGGTCCAAAAGTTGGCTCTTGGCCCAATGCTTCACTCCAGATGTGTCAATGCTGAGGGGAGATTTTTTGTTTAAACCAATCTAGTTTAGCCTCTATGGACTTTTGAAGGCACTTGTCAAATGAATAGGGCTTGTGTCGGCAAACGTATGCGCAAATGTGTTTTTTCCAAATGTTCCTGACTTGCAGCCATTTTGAAACTATAGGATAATGATGACACATTACTTTCAACCGCGGAGATAGGCGTGACTATATGTTCATTTGTATTTACAGTCTATGGTACAAACATTCTCACTCGAGCACTGAATGAAACTAGTACGATGGAAGGATAAGACAAGGCTACTGCTGCTGTGATATAGGGTCAGTAAATATCTTCTTCCAGTCTTGTATTTCACAGCAGATCCTCACACAGCTGTGGAGGTGTCGAGGTGTTTACTCCGGTGCGTCTCGGTGCTCGGAGCTGGAGGTGAGATGTGCTGCTGGTGACTAAAGAGGATTTTCAGCTAATCTTTTGAGATGAAACGTCGTGGTTTGGGAAAAATAAATAATACAACACCATCTGAATGTGTTTAACTCACCACGGCCCATATGCTGCTCGGCTCGCACCTTATGGCACCCGCAGGCAACAACATCGATTTTCTACTTTCTACTGCATTTAATTAAGCTATAAATAAATGAAGTTAAGGAATGAGGCTGGAGGCATAGTCGTAACATATATTTAAAGGCCATAATCTCTTACATTGCTACATTTGATTTAATATTATCTTAAAGAAACATAAAGGGTTTTATACTTGTTTCTTTATTATGCTAAAGAGATTTTATATTGAATTCTTGTTTCTGTGTGTATTATTTTTCAATTATTGTTCATTTGTCTTGTGTTGTGTGCTCCTAATTCGACCAATTTGACCAATCAAATGCCTTTATTTTCGGGGTAAACTCCAGCTTTTTCGAATGGATCAATTTGGTAAAACGTTAAAACTCAGGACTAAGGTGCTGGAAAACAAAGTGCTCTGAGTACTGAGCTGGATGCACTTTAGCTGCAGAAAATGGCGTATTGATTTGTCGGTAAAACTATGTGGAATAAAGCATTTTAATTCAGGATTTTGAACGTGTGAGTGGAGCTGATGGAGAAGGATGTCGACGGATGGAGGAGCAGAAAATCCTGAAATTTTCTCCAGTCTCTTTCACATGAAGCACAGAGAAGGCTGAATGTGCTGCAGTTTGACAGAAAGCAGCTGAGTCGGAGCCGGATGTAAAAAAGATACGACTTTGTAATGAAACTGTCAGAACATGGACGTGTCATGTTTTCTTTCTGTATTTCTTTCTAAAACACGTTTGTTGTACTGATCTTTATGCTGTTCCACCTACAGGCCTTTCTGTGTGGTGTTTGCGTTCTCGGTCTTCATAGGTTTCCTCTGGGTGCTCCGGTTTACCCTACCACTAAAACACATGTCCAATAGGTATGAATGTAATGAGAGAGTGAATGGATGGTGTTGGTTGGAGGCTTTGATGCACCAGTGTGTTCGACGTCTCGCTTCCGTCATCAGCGTGTGGAGAGAATGGAGTGATTTCTGAGCTCTGAACATTGTAATGTGCTTTCGGTGACCTTCATCTGTAAAATGTGCTATATACATTAACAATACTTACTTGAATAATTCAAGCAAATCGAATTTAAAATGACTAAATCCAGGACACTGCCTTATTGGAGAATGTAAAAATGTGTTCAAAAGGGTTCACATTGATTGATTTCAAACACTGCTCCATTTGATCTTTGTTGTTTTATCTACATTTGGACTCATCACTCACTCATGTTCACATCCATTCTATGCTTTCCTCTGGTCTAACTGATCCACCGCAGGAATAAAAAAGTCCCATTTTTTCTTAAACTTTCTCACATTTTGTTGAACTTGACCAAGCCTGGGTCATTAAGACTCTTTTGGAAACTATTTTAGTGTATTTTTTCCGACTTTTAATCACTGTGGCTTTTTGACCCGAGGCAAGCACAAGGTTTAAATAGTTCAAAATCATTTACTGCTTGTGCGGTTTCTTGAGTCTGAGCAGCAACACTATACACTTCTAGAGTCCAGTACAGCAACCGCATCAGTGCATTAGAAAAACTCTCTCCAAGTGTTATCATGAAAATGTAATCATGGCCGTACATACTAGACCCAAACAAATTGATATAAAAGAAGACGTTTAATGACACTGAATTATTACAAGATACACACAGGCATAACAGAAAATATAATACCCCAAGGAGAGATGGCTGGAGAGAGAGAGAGCGAGAACCCCGGAAGGCCTACTTAATGTTGCATAGAGAGTTGACACACCAACCAAGAACCCAAACTAGTCCATCTCAGCTCTCTATATACTGCCTGTGAGGTCACTCTCAGGCTCCACTGGATTGGTCAGGGGGAGTCAGCCAGGAGCAGGCCAGGGGACATGGACAGATAATTGTGAAAATCCATACCAACACCAAGAATCGGGGACTTCCAAAAAAGCAAACATCTCCAGGCAGAATACATACACATTTTGTCTTCTGCCTGGACTACAAACTTGTCCTGATTCCCCCCGGGATATATGTTTAACTGAATGAGAATAAGCGGGAAAGAGTTGGCAGACGAAAACAGTATAATCGGATAAAAGAATATAGTCAAGTGCTAAGTGTAAGGAGTTAATACTTTGCTTCCTGTGTGACTTTGCTGATGTGCTCTGACGTGAAAGCCTCTGTCCCCAAACTCTCCCGAAGCCTGCAGGAGCCCACCGCACATTCTATTTACTGGGACCACGGTGACTTTGACAAATGGCCCGTACTTACCTTATCCTCATAGGTTCAAATTGACCATAATCAAGATAAATGCTGTTCGCTTCCCCAATTACATCCATATGGCCCCAGGCTCCATTTTTTGCTCTCATGTTTTTGCTGCTCGCGAATCGATAAGTTATTTATTATGGACCTCCCTCCTATGAAGTGTGAAGGCGGCCGAGCGGGAAATGTGTGGGTTTTAATTCACTTTCACAATAATCATCAGGTTATAGAAGGACAAATTGGGTTTCCCCCCGTGTGAAGCGGCGGACGATACAAAGGTCTAATGCGTTTTATCTCAGAGGCGGGAAAAGTGCTTGTGTGGAGTTTAGCGTGTGGTTAGTGGTGACGCAAATGTACAGAGGACTGGCAATGGAACGGCAAGCAACCTCCAAAGGACCATAAAGTGTACACTGCTATGAGGTAATCAATACTATATTTTTGATAACTACATACATTAACCAACGTGCTGGCAAAGTTTCAGCTTGGACCCCAGAATTGATGAAAACCAACTAAAAGTGTGTAAGTGTGTATAATTTATTTTACTCAGTATCGGCCTCTAGTGGAGAAAGCGGTACTGCACTTTCACACACTTACACACACTAAGCTCAGTGCGCATGCGCAAGTCGTCTCAACAGGAAGTTCACGCTGGAGTACAAGGTGATGGAGGACATTGAAGACCACTTGATAGGTAAGGACTAATTACAGCTACTTTTATTGATTTACAATCCTCTTGTAGTGCTAGCTAGTCACTGTTACAGCCTGCATTGTGAAAAAGGGAAGTTAAAAGATGCAGAACTCATGAAGAGTTAGCTAGCTTAGTTAGCATTATCCTAGCAGCTAGAAGCACATTAGCGCTAAAACATATTTTCATTTATAGTTTGTTTTAACATTATTGCAGTTTTTAATATACTTTCATAATGACGTATTTATGCTCGCGCACATCATGCCACTGAGCCTGGTCACGGTGAGCTCAGTGCGGCCCCTGGTCACGGTGAGCTCAGTGCGGCCCCTGGTCACGGTGAGCACAGTGCGGCCCCTGGTCACGGTGAGCTCAGTGCGGCCCCTGGTCACGGTGAGCTCAGTGCGGGAGCCTGGTCACGGTGAGCTCAGTGCGGGAGCCTGGTCACGGTGAGCTCAGTGCGGGAGCCTGGTCACGGTGAGCTCAGTGCGGGAGCCTGGTCACGGTGAGCTCAGTGCGGGAGCCTGGTCACGGTGAGCTCAGTGCGGGAGCCTGGTCACGGTGAGCTCAGTGCGGCCCCTGGTCCCGGTGAGCACAGTGCGGGAGCCTGGTCCCGGTGAGCACAGTGCGGGAGCCTGGTCACGGTGAGCACAGTGCGGGAGCCTGGTCCCGGTGAGCACAGTGCGGGAGCCTGGTCACGGTGAGCACAGTGCGGCCCACGGTCACGGTGAGCACAGTGCGGGAGCCTGGTCACGGTGAGCTCAGTGCGGGAGCCTGGTCACGGTGAGCTCAGTGCGGGGCCTGGTCACGGTGAGCTCAGTGCGGAGAGCCTGGTCACGGTGAGCTCAGTGCGGGAGCCTGGTCACGGTGAGCTCAGTGCGAGCCTGGTCACGGTGAGCACAGTGCGGCCCCTGGTCACGGTGAGCACAGTGCGGGAGCCTGGTCACGGTGAGCTCAGTGCTGGAGCCTGGTCACGGTGAGCACAGTGCGGGAGCCTGGTCACGGTGAGCACAGTGCGGGAGCCTGGTCACGGTGAGCTCAGTGCGGGAGCCTGGTCACGGTGAGCTCAGTGCGGGAGCCTGGTCACGGTGAGCTCAGTGCGGGAGCCTGGTCACGGTGAGCTCAGTGCGGCTCCTGGTCACGGTGAGCTCAGTGCGGCCCCTGGTCACGGTGAGCTCAGTGCGGCCCCTGGTCACGGGGAGCACAGTGCGGGAGCCTGGTCACGGTGAGCTCAGTGCGGGAGCCTGGTCACGGTGAGCTCAGTGCGAAAGCCTGGTCACGGGGAGCTCAGTGCGGGAGCCTGGTCACGGTGAGCTCAGTGCGGCCCCTGGTCCCGGTGAGCTCAGTGCGGGAGCCTGGTCACGGTGAGCTCAGTGCGGCCCCTGGTCCCGGTGAGCTCAGTGCGGCCCCTGGTCTCGGTGAGGCCTGCCCGGTGTGCGGAGCTCAGGAATGTGAAGCACCACATCAATACGTAAATAAATGATCTATTATTATTATCTCTTAATTAGTATAATTCATGAGGATTGACAAATACAAATAAACTATAACATTGACCTGATAATCATATATTATCTATGTTTCTAATATGACAAGGCTCACGTATTATTATTGCACGCGTTTAATTCAAGTAAATCACTTGTATTTTATGTGAAATGATGCTATATTTAACCAGTGATTGTCAGCTCAATCACACCTTTAGACATAGTTTTAAAGTTCGCGCACGTAAAGCAACAGCTCAAAAACACGCTGCAGATTGTTTACTTAACGCAGCAAAACATGACGGAGAATTTCTGTCCCGGAGCAAGACCGCATTTCATTCATAATGTATTCATCAGGGGCTGATGAGGAATCAGAATGTGAAGTGTGGTCAGAGACAGAGCTGCTCCCGCGTGCGTGAGAACTGAGACCAGATCCAGACATCAGTGACTTTCACCGTGCGCACCATAGGCACGGGGTGAGTCCCGGAGCAAGACCGCATTTCATTCATAATGTACTCATCAGGGGCTGATGAGGAATCAGAATGTGAAGTGTGATCAGAGACAGAGCTGCTCCCGCGTGCGTGCGAGACACGGGGACATGCTTATGGTTTGAGACCTGAGACCAGATCCAGACCGGATCCAGACCGGATCAGTGACTTTCATCGTGCGCACCATAGGCACGGGCTGAGTCCCGCGTGTTTTTTGGGTCTCGTGTCCCATACATTTCATACCGGTCTTTCACCGGGGAACCGAAGGCTACAACAGTGGTGGGCAAACCATGGTCCGCGGCCCAGATATGGCCCGTTGGAGCTCTCATCTCTCCTCTCTTTACATACAGTGCCTCTCAAAAATTTGAATTCTGCTTGAACTTTTGTGAACTTTTTATTGAAAGTTCACACACAAGTAACAGACAACTGTGAAGAAAAAGTAAAATTATTATGATTCTGTTATTATTTTTTAAATAATTTGGGCCTGCACAACTATTCATTATACAGAATGAGTTAATACTTTGTGGAACCCCGTTTTCCTGCAATAACATATGACAGTATTTTGGGGTATGACAAATATGCACTAGAGACAGATTGTTTGTAAGTTTTTTTCTCACATGAATAAACACTTGTTTAGTTCACTATCTGCTAATAAATACTAGAGAGACTGTTGGGAGTTTTGCAGAGGTTAGTCTAAACTGTATTCATGATAGAAACACTACTCAAAAGTAGATCCCTATATTACAGAGGTCCATAACACACAACAGATCATCTGTTTTTGTGGGGAACGCAGCAGCTTCTCTAAATTGTAATAATCTATTTTCATTTGTTATCTCATTCTTCTGATTTTACTATACTAGAGAGGCCCAGGACACACACTTCAGGTCTGCTTTTCTGTGGGGACCGCAGCAGCGTCTCTAAGCTGTAATAATAATGTCTTTGGAGTCTTGTGTGTGCATCTTTCTGGGTTTACTATACTAGAGAGGACCATGACAAACACTTCAGGTCTGCATTTTGTGGGGGTACCAGCAGCTTCTCTAAGCTGTAATAATAATGTCTTTGAAGTCTTATGTGTGCATCTTTCTGGGTTTACTATACTAGAGAGGACCATGACACACACTTCAGGTCTGCATTTTGTGGGGGCCGCAGCAGCTTCTCTAAGCTGTAAATCAGGCATGTCCAAACTCAGGCCTGGGGGCCAAATGCGGCCCTTAGTGTCATGTTATGTGGCCCTCTGCCTCGCTAACCCAAAGTGGTTTATGAGATCATAAACACAAGTTCACTGTGTCATCCAGCCAACTTCAGCTCAGACAGTATTGACTCGTTCTAAAGCCCAGTGCCAAATTCAGTTGTTATTTGTACATACGGTGCTGACATGGTATTTGATGGTGTCTCAAACTTCCGTTAAAGATGCTAATGTAGCTGGTGAGATGGTAAACATGTGTCATTCAGCCAACTTCAACTCTGTTATAGATCATTTTAAATATAAGTCAAGACAGTTTTTCAGTCTGAAGTGTCGGCCCCTGAACTAGTCTGGTGAACTAATGTGGCCCTCTTACTAAAAAGTTTGGACACCCCTGCTGAAAATAATAATGTCTTTGAAGTCTTGTGTGTGCATCTTTCTGGGTTTACTATACTAGAGAGGACCATGACACACACTTCAGGTCTGCATTTTGTGGGGACCACAGCAGCTTCTCTAAGCTGTAAATAATAATGTCTTTGAAGTCTTGTGTGTGCATCTTTCTGGGTTTACTATACTAGAGAGGACCATGACACACACTTCAGGTTTGCATTTTGTGGGGACCACAGCAGCTTCTCTAAGCTGTAAATAATAATGTCTTTGAAGTCTTGTGTGTGCATCTTTCTGGGTTTACTATACTAGAGAGGACCATGACACACACTTCAGGTCTGCATTTTGTGGGGACCACAGCAGCTTCTCTAAGCTGTAAATAATAATGTCTTTGAAGTCTTGTGTGTGCATCTTTCTGGGTTTACTATACTAGAGAGGACCATGACACACACTTCAGGTCTGCATTTTGTGGGGACCACAGCAGCTTCTCTAAGCTGTAAATAATAATGTCTTTGAAGTCTTATGTGTGCATCTTTCTGGGTTTACTATACTAGAGAGGACCATGACACACACTTCAGGTCTGCATTTTGTGGGGACCGCAGCAGCTTCTCTAAGCTGTAAATAATTATGTCTTTGAAGTCTTGTGTGTGAATATTTCTGGTTTTACCATACTAAAGAAGTCCAGGACTTCACACATCAGATCCACGAATGATAAGCAGAGTTTAGTCCAAACTGAATTTATAACGTAATTCTGGGTATTGGTTTTTTGTATTTTACTTTTTCTTCCAGATTGGTCAGTAATCTACTTCAATACAGAGTTGTAATGGGGACCACAGTGGCAGGGTTGAACTTAATTGGATATTCTTTCAAATACACTTTGAATCTCAAAGAGGAAGTTGATGTAGATAGGAAGAATTCTACATTGTAACTTTACCACAGAAGAGGTTGTTAATTGATGGTATCCCTGAGTGTTGTATCAAACATTGTTGGTACTATGGTCTCTTTTGTCTTTAGGTGGAGGAGAACCAGGAATCTTGACCCACTTTGCTGAGGGCAACATGTCAACAAGATACTCAGCATTCAGAAAGCCTTGACAAGGTAACTGTTTTATTTAAAACATGTTTTTGGAAGGTTTGATTTGAACATTCTCAGCTTGAAAGCATAAATACCACCGTTGCTTTCAATTGTCTCAGATTACTGGACATACAACACACAAGAAACAACACTCATTTAGTTCACCGTCTGCAAGTACATACTGAAGATATCCGTAATACACACATGTTAGGTCAACTGTTGTAGGGACTGCAGAGCATCCAAACTGTATCCTTGACACTACTCAAAACTAGATTCTGGGTTTACTATACTAAAGAGACCCAGGACACACACGTCAGATCCACTGATGTTGAGGGAACTGCAGAGTTTTGCTTTTTTCATAGTTTACTAGAACTTAATTGGATATTCATTCAAATACACTATGTATCCCATTGATTATTTACACTATACGGATATGACCTACTTTGGTTTAACTAATGTTATTGTTTACTTGAATAGACCCGGTGGAGGTTGATATTGACAGTGACACTATAATAACTTGGTATAAAAAGTTACGCAATGCTTTTTGTTGTTCTGTCTATTGTTAAAGATTCCCTGAAAAAATGGCTATTGGGTTGGAGTGGCAATGGTGTACTTGCAGCCTTGCCTAATCTTAGCCACACAAAATATTTTATTAATGGGCTTCATCTAAAATTGTCTTTAAAGTGTGTATGTCTTCCAGAAAGACAAGACACATACTCTGACTGAGGAGGAAGCTGTAGATCTTGATCTTGATGAGGACAATTACACAATTGAGTCTGAAAAAGCTTTACAATGAGCTCAAATTCACCAGTTAAAAAAGGAATATATAAAAGTACGAAGTCCAGTTTAAATACTGTGTAATGTTATTTGTGGCTAATTCTGTCTACTCTATTCCTCAGTCCACATGTCAACCATGAGAAGGTGGCAGGAGGAGGAGATTAATGTTATGGAGAAGCACGTGATGGTCCTTCATAACCTCCTGCTGTGTTCCGGGAAAAAGGAACTACGATAAGTGTTTCTAACTTGAAAATGTAACACTCAAAGAGATTGTTTGAAAATGTTTCTAGTCTCTGTTAGACTTGTCTAGTCTTGTTCTTAAAACATTTTTTATTTTTTAAGCACAAAGACTGATTTAATTATTGGCACTCCTGATAACGTTATGTTACCCAAACACTGTTATAGTTCTGGAGACTAAACACAGAATTGCAGTAAGGCATTGTTTCACTCAATAAATGTAAAATGAATCACTTGCTTTCCTGTTACTTAAGAGATTTACTCAACTTCACTTAAAGGTATCTAAAGCATCTTGACTCCATGTTTGAATGGAACTAAAAATAGCTTAAAATGTACAGTGTGTATGAGTGGATCTAAAAGGCCTTTAAAACTAGACTGTGTTTGAGTGGATCTAAAAGGCCTTTAAAACTAGACTGTGTGTTGGAGTGGATCTAAAAGGCCTTTAAAACTAGACTGTGTTGGAGTGGATCTAAAAGGCCTTTAAAACTAGACTGTGTGTTGGAGTGGATCTAAAAGGCCTTTAAAACTAGACTGTGTGTTGGAGTGGATCTAAAAAGCCTTTAAAACTAGACTGTGTGTTGGAGTGGATCTAAAAAGCCTTTAAAACTAGACTGTGTGTTGGAGTGGATCTAAAAAGCCTTTAAAACTAGACTGTGTGTTGGAGTGGATCTAAAAGGCCTTTAAAACTAGACTGTGTGTTGGAGTGGATCTAAAAGGCCTTTAAAACTAGACTGTGTGTTGGAGTGGATCTAAAAGGCCTTTAAAACTAGACTGTGTGTTGGAGTGGATCTAAAAGGCCTTTAAAACTAGACTGTGTTTGAGTGGATCTAAAAAGCCTTTAAAACTAGACTGTGTGTTGGAGTGGATCTAAAAGGCCTTTAAAACTAGACTGTGTGTTGGAGTGGATCTAAAAAGCCTATATACAAATAAAGTGTATGAGTTTTGTTAAATATATGGTCTGATTTTCTATTACTTTACAGATTTGAGTATACTCACCCCATGAATAGGATTTAAATAATTAATTTCAATTTATTTTGTAACATCTAAAATCACAAAAGTCCAAATAGTCGTACAATACAATACAATACAATACAATACAATACAATTTATTCTTGTATAGCCCTGAATCACAACAGAAGTAATCTCAGATGTCCTGGTATGTGTGGGACTAAAAGTAGCTAAAAACCTGACAGTGTGTATGTGTGGGACTAAAAGTAGCTAAAAACCTGACAGTGTGTATGTGTGGGACTGAAAGTAGCTAAAAACCTGACAGTGTGTATGTGTGGGACTAAAAGTAGCTAAAAACCTGACTGTGTGTATGCGTGGGACTAAAAGTAGCTTAAAACCTGACAGTGTGTATGTGTGGGACTAAAAATAGCTAAAAACCTGACAGTGTGTATGTGTGGGACTGAAAGTAGCTAAAAACCTGACAGTGTGTATGTGTGGGACTAAAAGTAGCTAAACACCTGACAGTGTGTATGTGTGGGACTAAAAGTAGCTAAAAACCTGACTGTGTGTATGCGTGGGACTAAAAGTAGCTAAAAACCTGACAGTGTGTATGTGTGGGACTGAAAGTAGCTAAAAACCTGACAGTGTGTATGCGTGGGACTAAAAGTAGCTAAAAACCTGACATTGTGTATGCGTGGGACTAAAAGTAGTTAAAAACCTGACAGTGTGTATGCGTGGGACTAAAAGTAGCTAAAAACCTGACATTGTGTATGTGTGGGACTAAAAGTAGCTAAAAACCTGACAGTGTGTATGTGTGGGACTAAAAGTAGCTAAAAACCTGACTGTGTGTATGTGTGGGACAAAAAGTAGCTAAAAACCTGACAGTGTGTATGTGTGGGACTGAAAGTAGCTAAAAACCTGATAGTGTGTAAGTGTGGGACTAAAAGTAGCTAAAAACCTGACAGTGTGTATGCGTGGGACTAAAAGTAGCTTAAAACCTGACATTGTGTATGTGTGGGACTAAAAGTAGCTAAAAACCTGACAGTGTGTATGTGTGGGACTAAAAGTAGCTTAAAACCTGACAGTGTGTATGTGTGGGACTAAAAGTAGCTAAAAACCTGACAGTGTGTATGCGTGGGACTAAAAGTAGCTAAAAACCTGACAGTGTGTAAGTTTCGGCATCACAAGTATAGCAATACCTGTTAAGTTCCCAGAAGTATAGTAACAATCTGGTGTGGGACATTGTTTGTGAAATCTTGGATTTTGACGTGATATTACTGTTCAGGACCTCCAGGGGGCCATGCCTGATTTTTTTTGCTGCTGTAAACCCTACAGAAAGGCTGGGTCCCACAATGCATGTCCTGGTCTGGTGGTCCCACGAGATGATAAAGACAAGTATGTGTGTGTGTGTGTGTGTGTGTGTGTGTGTGTGTGTGTGTGTGTGTGTGTGTGTGTGTGTGTGTGTGTGTGTGTGTGTGTGTGTGTGTGTGTGTCAGCCATTTTGGGCTGGTACCAAATGGAAGATGGAAAAGGGGCATTTGGCTTATGCCTGCTGACTTAACATGGACTCATGTGACTTGAGCGGTGCATTTACCCTGACCTAAGGCTGACCCTAAAGCAGACAGTTTGAGTGGAACACAATTGAGGGTTCATGGCGGCCATGTTGGTGCACCAGACAAATAAATAGTACAAGAAACAAAAAGGAATTTCAAAATTATTTCTACTCTCTGTAAAAAGTTAAAGTTATCATTCACTTTTTACAGTGAATGATAACTTTAACTTAAAGGAAATGCAACGAGCTGCTCTAAATCATAACAGTAGTGGGACTTTAAAAAGTTGGTGATTCGCCAATAACCGATCAGAGAATCAAACCGTTCAAACACAGGAAATGCAATTGGTTCATAAAGGGCAGACAACCACTGACCTTAGACCCTTCTACATTGGCAAAGAACTCACAAAACTCAGTGGGAAGTCTGAAGACTGCGGTCGTCATGCGATCCAGGACTGAGAGGTCTGAGTGAATCAGGATGCTACGTAAGTAATATTTATTTATATACCGCCTTTCACAGACCAGAGTCACAAACCATGTTAGTGACAGAGTCACTAACATGTGTTCTATGTTCTTTATGTGTTTTAACTGTTGATTCTCTGATCAGTGTTGGTGATTTCAATGGTTTTGTTAAGTCCTCTGAGTCTGAGATGACTTCAGTTGTGATTTAGGGCAGTACAAGAATAAATTGTATTGTCTTATATTGTAAACCGGTTTACAATTGTTGTGGGCATTTGTCTCCCACTCCACGCCACTCCGCCAGAACTACATGTTTTTAGTGGTAGGGGAAACCAGAGCACCCGGAGGAAACCTACGCAGACACGGGGAGAACATGCAAACTCTACTCAGAAAGGCCCCTTTCCGACCGAGATTTGAACCCAAAACCTTCTTGCTGAGAAGCGATAGTGCTATCGACTCAGCCACCGTGCAGCCTAAATGTTCCACCTTTTTCTGTCTGAAAAAGCTGATCTAAAAAATGTAACAGACCAAAAGTTCATGAGGAGCTAATAAGATGGATTAGGCGCCACAGTTAGTTCTCTCCCTATAGTACGGCCCTGGATTTGAATCTTTTCTGAATGGAGTTTTCATGTTCTCCCTGTAGCTGTGTAGGTTTCCTCCAGGTGCTCCGGTTTCCCCTACCACTAAAAACATGTAGGTCTGAATGTAACGAGTGAGTGAGTGAATGGTGCTGGTTGGAGTTTTGATGCACCAGTGTCTTTGACGTCTTCCTTCTGTGTGAGGAGAATGTGATTGTAAAATGCTTTGTGTGACTTTGGTCTGTAAAAAAATTGCTAAATAAATAAAGATTATTTACATTCTTACTATTGGAAGGATACACCAGACAGGCTCTGGTTCCACAGCTAGACAGTGATGATCCGTGTCATTTTAGATACATATAGATAGATAGATAGATTGATACTTTATTGGTCCCCTAGGAGAAATTCAGGTGTCCAGTAGCAGCAGAAAAACATCCTTCCACACAAACAAAACAAATAAATACAATTCTAAAACAATAGTAGGGTTGCAGCAGCCGTGGTGCAGCCGCTGTGAGCAGGACATTTCTCAATGTACCGTGGTCATCCCTCTGCCTATTGTCCATGGCCTATGTCAAGTTCACAGAGACGACTGATGTAATGATTTATTAAAAAAATTGTTGGGTGCCCCAGATTTAGATCAGCCATCTCAGGCAAAAATACACTGCAATCGAAATGCAAAAAAAAATTGTAGATAACATAATGCGGCACGGTGGCTGAGTGGATAGCACTCTCGCCTCTCAGCAAGAAGGTCCTGGGTTCGAATCCCGGTCGGACCAGGGCCTTTCTGAGTGGAGTTTGCATGTTCTCCCCGTGTCTGCGTAGGTTTCCTCCGGGTACTCCGGTTTCCCCTACCACTAAAAATATGTCCAATAGTTCTGGCATGTGCCTCCTGTACTGGCGACCCCGCTCCCATCTCTGTGTGGAGTGAGAGACAAATGCCCATAATTAACAATTGTAAACCGCTTTGAGACTCAGATCTGCAGTGAAAAGGCGGTATATAAATAAAGATTACTACTATTACTACATAGACGTATATTTCTACATCGTTTCGTTTGATTTTCCAAACACACAGAGGTGGATGGATGTAGATTAGGGCTGGGACAACGCGTCGACGTAATCGGTGACGTCGACGCAAAAAATACACCGACGTATAATATGCGCGTCGGTGCGTCACACACAAAACAAAGATGGGGCGAGCGGTAGCAATGCGAGTGCCGTGTTAGAGAAGTGCAAGCCGGTGTAACGCCGAGATACACTGCCTTGAAGAGATGCACAGCCTCAGCTGTTTATGATGTAATGCAAACCTGCGCATGCGCGTCTCACGGCAGCCGAAGCAAACCAAGATGGCGGACCGTGAATTTCTTTAAAAGTTGAAATACGAACAAATTCAGACACGAATGTCACTTTTAATGCAATTTGAGGCGAGATGTTGATGGTTCCGTTTTGTCACATGTGGGTTTTAAGAGTCAAAGTTTCGTGCAAAGTTTAGTTTAAGCAGTCAACTGCGCCTGTGAAACCACAAAGCTAATGTTTTCATAGCAGTCCGCGGCTGCTGACGTAGGCTGATGACGCGTCCTGTGGCAACTCTACACTCTTACAACTAGTCTGTCTTTCTTTGTATCAAACGGAATATTGGCGCCCGTAATAGCCCCTACATGTATTATTCACTGTCATGCCCGCCGTATATGGACATTTTTCAACATGTGTTCAATATCCTTAATGTGTTTAACTGTTGATTGATTCTCTGATCTGTGTTGGTGACTTCAATGTTGTTTTAAGTCCTCTGAGATGACTTCTACTGTATTCTTTCAGTAACTCTAAAAGAAAGGATGACTGGTTGACCTTTTTATTTGCTACACAATGCATTGTTTTTCTCTTGTACACTCTTACTTGAGTTTTATTTTTGAATTTTGAGTTTAAGAAAAAGGTGAGTGGCAGAGTTTTGACTGTTATTTTTATATGAATGAAGAATTTAAGAGATGCACTTTAATTAATGGACTTCAGTAATATAGGCCTATGTGTCTTCAACTTAAATGTTAAACTCTGTTGGTTCAGGAAGGACGCCATGACAGGCTGATGGCTCCCACTGTTTTTGCTGGAAAAGCACTCTTTGTTTAGCTTAAAGCCTTCAAGTTTACATTGGTTACTGTTTTCTTTTAGTTGCTCTACACAAGTATTTGGCTGAACATTTTCATATTTTTATTGAATGCTAAGCATCAAATGTTTGTTTCAAGAATGATAAGATGCACTTTTTTCAGTAAGCTGTGTTTTCAAGGCTTTAAGGTTTTATGCTACCTCTAAGAATGTCTTATTTTTGAATTTTAAGAGCAAGCAATAAATATTTTTTAGGAAGGAATTTATGTTTTTTTCATTAAAATATTCAAATCAACATGTATACATCAATATTAGTCAATTAATGGGGAGATAATCGAGAATCGAATCGAATCGAAATCGAATCGAAGCAAAAAAAATAATCGTTAGATTAATCGATGCATCGAAAAAATAATCGCTAGATTAATCGTTTAAAAAATAATCGTTTATCCCAGCCCTAATGTAGATGTTCTCTCGTTGCAGTACCAGTGTGTGCCACTAGAGCGCGTGTTCCCTCTGTCTCGGGCCCGTCTCCAGAGTCTGCGGCCCCTGCCTCTTGGCTCCTGGCAGAGGGTCAAGTGTAAATCTACTGTAACATCGGCCCGGGACACTGCGGAGGTGAAGAGCTAAGCGGCAGCAGCTGTCTGAGGGCAGGGGCCGCGTCTGATGAAGCTCCGCGGACAGACACGATGAAAGACACAAAACACGAAGCTCAGGGCCCAAAACTAAAAATATAAGAAATCCACAAGGAGCGCATCAGCAGCACAGCAGCAGCACAGCAGCAGCAGCAGCAGCAGCAGGAGGCGGCGGTCTGTGAGTGTTCACCGAGGAATGTCCCTGCAGCGAAGGAAGCATTAACAGTATCGACATGAACGTGTTTAAACAGGACCCCCAGCCGTCATTTTGACTGCTCCAATGAAATTCTGGAAAGTCCAATGAAAGTCCATTGATTAAAGTAAGTAATTTAAAAGGTGTGTTTATTTGTTCATTGTATGCCTTTACTCACTTTTAATTGGTGAATAGAACTTGAAATACAGTTTTTGCAGTGGCTAAATGCTGAGACTTAAACAGTCTGTTGCCATGGTAACTACCACTAACCCTTCTGATGAGCATGACCCAAGTGTAGTATTGGGACACCCTACACCCCCCGTGGGCGTGTGCAAAATCTAGAGTAAGGGAATAAATTTAAGGTGAGAGTGAGAATTAGGACGGGGCTTAAAAGATGCCACATTAAGGAACATTTCTGTTTTTATGGAGCCTTTCTCCTCCACAACACTTTGAAATAATAAATAAATAAAGATGAGATTAGAGATCCTTTATTCATCCCACAGTGGAGAAATTTCGGTGTTGCAGCGCACATTGAAATTTTCCCCACTTGATTACATTTATGTATGTACACCCTCCCTTGTGGAATGAGTCTGTCAGCTTTATTTGTAGCACGTTTACAACAGCACCAGCAGCTTCCCAAAGCTTCACAGGGACAAAGGAAAAGAAAACAGCATCAAATAAACACATGATTTCAACTGTAGAACTCAGTTGGTAAAAGCTGAGGCACAAATGTGTCTTTAGACTAGATTTAAAAATCTCCAATAAAGAAGCTGCTCTATTAAGTAAACTGTTAATACTGTATAAATGTTGGTGTTGCAGCGCACAGTGCAGAGCAGTGGTAATAGTACAAAGTCAAGACAATGTACATTAAATATTTATGCTTAAAAATCTTTAGTGATTGATGTTACACACAACATATGTGCACTGTCCGTTAAAAAAACAAGGATTGTTTTAAACTAAAACATAAAAACAATACTTCAGCAGGATGTGCTACTTCCATATGAACCAACTGAGACTGAGGAGCACAGGGACTGGCCTCCTGCTGGGACCCTGAGGAGCACAGGGACTGGTCTCCTGCTGGGACTCTGAGGAGCACAGGGACTGGCCTCCTGCTGGGACTCTGAGGAGCACAGGGACTGGCCTCCTGCTGGGACTGAGGAGCACAGGGACTGGTCTCCTGCTGGGACTCTGAGGAGCACAGGGACTGGCTTCCTGCTGGGACTCTGAGGAGCACAGGGACTGGTCTCCTGCTGGGACTCTGAGGAGCACAGGGACTGGCCTCCTGCTGGGACTCTGAGGAGCACAGGGACTGGCCTCCTGCTGGGACTCTGAGGAGCACAGGGACTGGCCTCCTGCTGGGACTCTGAGGAGCACAGGGACTGGCCTCCTGCTGGTGCTCAGAGCTCATGGGGAGGCAGCATCACACCAGTGCACTTCTCTCTCAGCTTGTGGACTTTTAAGAGGTTTTGATTTATCTCTCTTTCAATTCCAAAGTGGTTTTACTGCAAATGGCAAATAAATGAATCTGAATCTGAAAAGTTTTGCTGTTTGCGCTTAGTCTAACTGTGCAACAACCAAAGGATTGTATCTTCACTAAGTAGGAGAATGAGTGACTATTGAAGCTATTGTATGATTCTAAATGATTCCTGTTTTATTAAAAACTGTTAAAAACAAATACACTTGCCTTTCCTGCTTCGTGCATGTGATGTGAGGCTCCTGCTGCTGGTCATCAGGAGGCACTAGGACAGTGTTGCGTGTGAAGCTCTTATCAGCTCAGACTCAGGGACTGTTGGCCTGGCTCTGTGTCTGGGAGTCACTTCTATTGTTGATACAGTCCATAATTTTGATTTATCCTCTGGTAAATAGCGCTTTGCTCCGGCGCAGCTTTCAAATCACTTGATCATTAATCCACACATTGTTTTATTTACCTCTGCTCTCAGCGGCTGCAGACAGGAGGAGGAGGAGCGGGACAGGCCCAGGTCAGTGTGGGGGGGGCAGAGGTGGTGCCCACTCTGGATAATGTCTGTGACAGAAGCCACAAAACCAGAGAGTCCCCGGGGCCCGCGGTGAAGCAGGGGCCACTCGGTCTGAGGCAGCTCTGCACAGCGCTCACAGAGCCTCATGAAGCTCTGCTCTATGGGCTTCAGCTTCTGTTTCATACACGCTCCCCATTCTGAATCGCTATAACAACAGATACGTGAATCACTATGGCAACAGATACTGTATGTTGTGAATCACTATGGCAACAGATACAGTATGTTGTGAATCACTATGGCAACAGATACAGTATGTTGCAAATCACTAGGGCAACAGATACAGTATGTTGTGAATCACTATGGCAACAGATACAGTATGTTGCAAATCACTAGGGCAACAGATACAGTATGTTGTGAATCACTGTGACAACAGATACAGTATGTTGCAAATCACTAGGGCAACAGATACAGTATGTTGTGAATCACTATGGCAACAGATACAGTATGTTGCAAATCACTAGGGCAACAGATACAGTATGTTGTGAATCACTATGGCAACAGATACAGTATGTTGCGATTCACTATGGCAACAGATACAGTATGTTTCAAATTGCTATGGTAACATATATAGTATGTTGTGAATCGCTATAGCAACAGATAGAGTAGGTTGTGAATCGCTATGGCAACGGCCCTAATTTGCATACCTGACATTCATCGAAGATTAATCATGATTTTTAGATTTCCTTGTTGGAGGAAATGGTAACTGAAAGAATTACAGTTTGAGATTACGGAATAGTATCAAATACATGCGGTCCACATCAATGTGAGGAGCTCGAAGTAGAGCCGCTGCTTCTCCACATCAGAGTAACCAATTGAGATGCCTCAGCCCTCTGTTTAGCAGGAGTTCTGTGCATCTCCCACTGGGAGGAGACCAGGGGAAGACCCAGGATATGTTGGAGGGACTAGCCTGGGAACACCTCGCTGTGTTCTAAGTGCTGGCCCGGGAACACCTCAGGATTCCCCCAGATGAGCTGGAGGAGGTAAGTGTGGAGATGGAAGTCTGGGTGTCTCTACTCAGACTGCTGCAACCAGTCAACAGATAAAACAGAGGTGTGGAAGAATCAATACTATTGTGCAATGAAACTTATTTTTATTTATTTTTTATTTATTTATTGTGTTTATTTGAACATCGAATAAATGTATAAGAAAGAAAAAAAACAGTAAGAACAAAACAAAGAAAATAAAGAAAACTTATTCACGTTCAAAAGGAGTAGGAAGAAGCCAAGCTTATTTAATCCTACCGCTCTTCCCTATGTCAATTCAATATATTGAATATTGAAGCAAAATATACTAATATATATACACATACATGTATATACATACATGCATACATACATGTATCCATACATACACACATATACATACATATATATATAATTACAGTTAATTAAAAAAATATTAACTTAAATGAACAGTAACAATAATTGCACCGTGTATCACCTAGTGTCTTTTTGTACCCCAGATTCATCCCTGTATCTATTCAAAACATGCTCTTTATATTTTACTTTGAACTCCTTTATATTTAGACATTGTTTCAATTCTTCACACAACCTGTTCCATATTTGTACTCCACTGAATGAAATACAAAATCTCTTTTTGTTTGTTCGTATTCTGATGACTTTAAAGTTATTTAACCCCCTTAATTGATAACCCCCCTCTCGACCCGTAAAGATGTTTTGTATATTATATGGTAGTAGCTTATTAGCTGCTTTATACATTATCTGTGCTGTTTTAAATTCAACTATGTCTGTGAGTTTTAATAGTTTTGACTGCAAGAAAAGTGAGTGAGTGTGATCCAAATAGCCTGCGTTATGTATTATCCGAATTGCCCTTTTTTGTAGAATAAGTAATGGTTTTAATGAACTCGTATAATTATTTCCCCAAATCTCTGAACAGTAACTGAAATATGGTAAGACAATAGTACAGTATATGTTGCGAAGTGACTTAGCGTCTAGTACCGGTTTTGCTCTATTTAATATTGCAATGCTTCTTGACAGTTTAGTCTGTATATATTTGATGTGTGGTTTCCAGGTGATTTGATCATCTATTATAATCCCCAGGAACTTGTTTTCATTAACCCTTTCTATTTGCACCCCATCTAACCTTAGTTGTAATTTCTCTTCAGATCGGTTGTTCCCAAATAACATAATTTTTGTTTTGTTAAGATTAAGTGATAATTTATTCCTGTCAAACCATAATTTCACTTTGTTCATTTCATGAGTAACCTCTTTAAGAAGCTCTTTTAAATTGTCCACAGAACAAAAAATATTAGTGTCATCAGCAAACAACACCAGCTTCAGTTTCTGTGAGACAACACAAACATCATTAATATACAAAATAAACAATTTAGGACCCACTACTGACCCCTGGGGGACGCCACAGGAAATGTCCAACCATGCTGAACAAACATCACCCATCTTCACAAACTGCTGCCTGTTCTTTAAATAACTTGTGACCCAGTTCAACACAATGCCTCTGACACCATATCTTCCTAGTTTTTTTATCAACAAATCATGGTTGATTGTATCAAAAGCTTTTTTAATATCAATAAATATTCCAACAGCATATTGTTTTTTTTCAAGAGCATTTGTTATATCTTCAATAGCTTCAGTTATCGCTAGTGCTGTTGATCTTTCCGACCTAAACCCATACTGGCTGTCAGAAAGCATTTTATGTTTTGTGATGAATGTATCCAGTCTATTACTAAAAAGTTTTTCTAATATTTTGGAAAATTGTGGGAGTAAGGAGACAGGTCTGTAGTTGTTGAAGTGATGTTTGTTCCCGCCTTTGTACAATGGGATAACCTTGGCTATTTTCATGCTGTTTGGAAAGACACCAGTGTGAAATGACAAGTTACAGATGTGCGTTAGCGGCTTCAGAATTCCCTCAATCACATCTTTCACCAGAGTCATGTCAATGTCATTATAGTCAGTGGATTTCTTGTTGTGACACTTTTTAACAATGTCAAGTATTTCCTTTTCTTCCACTTTATTAAGAAACATTGAGTGGGGATTTCTTTCTATTAACGCATCCATGTTTTTACCAGCTGCCCCAGGATCAGGTATGTTTTTTGACAGGTCAGGCCCCACATTCACAAAAAATGTATTAAATTTATCCGCCACATCACTCGTGTTTTCAAATACATTGTCTTTATCAATAAAGTAATCAGGATACTCATTTCGAAGCGAAATGAGTATCTTACTCATTACTCATACTGCTTACAAACTATTCAAACAATTATATAGTTTTTGTTTTTTTGTCGTACGTTGTTGCTTCTCCTTCACTTTGAACTTACAAATTTATCAATTAATCTGATCTTTTACATTTTAAACAGACTATTTTTGCTACTTTATGTCGTGCCTCTAACAGTGACATCATTTGGACGACAGCTTTAATCAGGTCCTTCTCTGTGAACACCGTGGCCTCACTCCCGCTCCATCAGCAAAACCACAGTGACCCGGGTCTGCGGGGCCTGTTTACAGACGTGTTTTTCATCTCCGCTTTTAATCCCCATTTTTCATGTTGAGTTTGAAGTGGCACGAGCCTGAACCAGCACCAAGTCAACTCTGAAGTAAACCCCAAAGTTCTCCTTCTCTCATGTCCAGGTCACAAGTAAAAAGCAGACAAAAGCTGCAGAATATACCAGTCAGTGTAGAGTTATTGTTCATTCATATTGTGCTGTGTGTTCCTTCTTCCTACTGTTCTTCATTTTATTTTATCACATTGTTTGTGGTTTGAAAGTTAGATAACGCAGCTTTAACACTGCATAGGTACACTGTAAACCCATACACTTTATTTTCTCAAAACGATTTTTAATCATCTGGGTCGAAATTCTAATATTCCCTCGACGATGTAAAATGTATTAGTCCAAAACACCCATAATTGTTTCGTATTATGGCAGTATAGTTTAAAAGTTTAGTTTCAAGCAATAGTCAATCATTGGACTCATGACTCCACCCTCTATCACGTGGCCTCGGTTGTGTACGATCTGAGTCCTCGTTCTACAGCCTGAGTCCTGGATCTACAGCCTGAGTCCTGGATCTACAGCCCGTCCGTCCGTTGGAGCAAATCCTTCTCTCAATGCGGGCCTCCCATGATCCAGGACAATGGACATTCAACAACATTTATGGACTGGATCAAACTTTCAAGGTTCAAAGTGACTTTCATTGTACCCATGGGTAGATTTTTATTGCAGTTAAAAAGAGAGAGACGGCCTCTACAGAAAATTGTTCCTAAAAATCCCATTTCCACAAACAAAACTTAAAATACAACAGATAAGTAAAGACAAAGAAGATAAAATATAGATGAAAGTGGTCAAAAGTCAGGGCTCCAGAGCTCATTTAAAACCCATGTGTGACTGGCCACTGTGCAAACTACAGCGTGTTTATAAGGTGGGGGAAAAAAACTGTTATTGTAACATTTGTTCGGCATCTTGGGACTAAAAACCTTCTCCTCAAGGGCAGGGGGTAGAGTGCAGATACTTTTTGGACATTGATCATCTGCCCCTTATGGAGCAATGTGTTTTTTATCATTGCATTTCTTGTGTTTGAACCGTTTGATTCTCTGATCTGTGTTGGCCAAGTAGAGATTTCCGGGCTATGTACAAAAACATTGAAGTGAATTGAATCCTCTCTTCATACCATCACCTGCCAGGGTCCGTGCGCCAGAGTTGATCCATAAACTTTGTTCGTAAACTTCGCACGTTGATCCGAACAGCTGAGGACCGAGCCCCCGTCCCCTCTGAGCCAGTGGTCCGGTTCAAGAGCAGACTTTATTGGCCGACTTAGCGCCCGCAAAAGCCTTAAATACGGCAATGTTCTTTGTGACGACCCGTGTAATTACATGTGCTGTCAGCGCAGACATCAGCGCGCACCAGGCCTCCTCTGACTTCAATTACGCCTCCCCCTCGTCCCACAGAGGAGCGCTAAAGGGGCATAGAGGGAGGGAGGTTAGGGAGGGGAGGGAGAAGGAGGTGAGGGTGACGGCCGGGACAAGCCTCCACTGTACGGGCTGAAGTGGCGCTCTGTGTGGGAGACGCATCAGACTGGACTTATTCTGACAAAAAAGTAAATGTCAATAAAAGTCTTGGCCGTGGATGAGAAGAATGTTCTACAGAGAAGCTA